TCAAGATATTCTTTTTTAACAATTTTATATTTATCAGTTAATTTTTATCAAACATAATTTATTTATCAAGAACCAATTAATTTTTCAAACATAAATATTAATTTTTATTGATGGATTCCTTTCAAAAAATATAGAATATAATCAAATGTGAAACGTCTCAAATTCATTGTTGTTACTTTTTATTGTTGGAAAGGAAAAAAAAAGGTATTTCTATTTTTATGAAAGGAAAGGAAGGTTAAAATTAAGCCACGTCACCTCATTGAATACTCACCATTCGTTTCACCTAACACAGTCCTTGGTTTTCTATACCGTGGTAGTACTGGTACCACCGACTTCATGTACAAACCAACCTTCTTTGACTTCTTGACTCTATTTCTTACATATTTTTGAGAAAATTTTAATCTATACTATATTATAACTTTTAAAATTTATTTTTTATATAAGAAGTATTGGTTATTGATGTATATTATTTAAAATTCAATATTACAATTAAATTGTGTGTAAGTATAACTTATTAAGCTCTATGTTTGAATTCGTATAACTAACTGTAAATAAACATATTCAAATACAAATTAATTTTTTTAAATATAAAATCTAAAATATAATTAAGATAATTATTGAGTTCTAACAGAATTATTATCTTTATAAAAATGCGAAAAATAAATTGTTTCACTATTAAACCTAAATTAAATTATAATAAAAAATTGAACTAAAGAAATTGTAAAAAAAACGAGAACTTTTAAAAAGTTAATTTGATATTAATATCGATATATTTTTTCAAATTTTTATGATATCTTCAAATTTATTTTTATTCAAAAATGTAAACATTATCTTTCTCAAAACCACATAAACTATATTATATCAAAAGAGACAAAAAAATAAAACGAAACATTAAAATGAAGATGTATCTTGCTGCATTGTGTGAGTACCTTTCTAGTTTCTACAAAAGAGTACCCGTTTCTACAAATGGGTACGAATACATCCATCATCATTTTATTTCGAATGTCATTATTCAGTCTTTATTTTTTTTAACGTACCCGTTTATCTCCACTTTGATTAGTCTTTGAGTTCTTGAAAAACTATAGTAAAATCTTCGATAACTTTGCCGGAATCAAACCTATGATTCTTAAGAAAATCTTCAAAGACTTAAATTTTATTGTCAGTTGAACTAACCCTACAAGGTTAATTATTTAAGTCTTGCTAACATGTTTAAAGAAATGTATACAAAATATATGTATAGATATCTTTCTTATATATATATATATATATATATATATATATATACTAGAAGGGAGGGTACTCGTGCTATGCATCGAGGCACATTTCGCTTTCGGTGTTTCGTTTTTATTCTTTTTCTATGTCGAACGGTTTTATGTAATTTTGAGAACGTGATAATGTTTTTATTTTTGAATAAAATATAAATTTGAAAATATCACAAAACTTTGAAAAAAAATATTGATATGAGTATTAAATTAACCTTTTTAATTGTTTTTAGTGTAATTTTTATTTAATTCAATTTTTTTATTATAATTTAATTAGGTTTAATAATACTAGAAGATACTTGTGCAATACAATGAGACATATCTTGATTTTAATGTTTTATTTTGTTATTTATCTCTGTCGATGTTATAATATAATTTTATATGTTTTAAGAAAACAATAATGATTTTATTTTTGAATAAAATATAAATTTGAAGATATCATAAAAACTTGAAAAAAAAAATATCAATGTTAATATCAAATCAACTATTTAAAAGTTCTTATTTTTTATAT